TCCTGGAGAAGAGGAGGCTGAGGGGAGACCTTATTGCTCTCTACAGCTACCTGAAAGGAGATTGTAGCAAGGTGGGGGCTGGTCTCTTCTCCCTAGTAACGAGTGATAGGATGAGAGGAAACGGCCTCAAGCTGCGTCAGGGGAAGTTTAGGTTGGATATTAGGAAAAATTTCTTCACTGAAAGCGTTGTCAAGCATTGGAACAGGCTGCCCAGGGAAGTGGTTGAGTCTCCATCCCTGGAGGTATTTAAAGAACGGGTAGATGTGGTGCTCGAGGACATGGTATAGATGGACTTGGCAGTGCTAGGTTAACAGTTAGACTCGATGATCTTAAGGGTCTTTTCCAACCTTGACGATTCTATGATTCTATGAATTTGCATCTACACGCTTTTTTCCTTATGTGAGCTAAGGATTGAGATGACAAAGTAAGGGAGGTTTTTTTGCCGATCTGTGTGTTTATTGTTTTGTTCTTGACATTAAAACTATGAAAGAGAGCAGAGAAAATGGGTCATATGTTTACTCAAACAGTTCTTTAACATGGCATTCTCACTGTTAGGATTTATTAGTACATTTACCTTGTGAATATGATTATTAATATAATATATAATTTGTGTATACTATTATATTGAAAATATTTTAAAAGTGAACACTAATTTATTTAGCTTTAAAGTTTGGCTGTTTTGATTTGAAATACTAGGATCTATTCTTATAAAACGAATAATACATCAGTGGTGCATGTGCATTAAGGATCTATACAGCATGAGGATGTTAGTAGACTGCATGTACATAACGAAATTTACATTCTTCAGAAAAGTTGGGGGGGTTAAAAAAAATGATGTCCATGTATGAATAGTAATAATCTTATGGTTATTAAAAACACTTCCCTTTGCATATCGCACATCAAGCACAGACTTGAGGTGCCTCACCAAATAATTAAAAAAATGCTATCATAAACATTTACATAATTTTATTAAGTTCAGCCATCAAGTACGCGAATTAGTGAGCATCAAGAAAGGACACTACACTGCAGCACCTAAAAGTTTCAGTAGTATTCTCACTCAATTTAATATTCACAAATACTTGAAAAATAGTCCTAATCATCTACCCTGCCTGTCCTATTGAAATCAATAGTTAATTCGTCCCCTAGTAAAGCTGCACTACTGATATTGACAGATCTCAGCCTGATCAAACAGTGCCCAGATTACTTGTTATACATTTTAGTTATCCTACAGTTTACACAGGTCAGAAAAAAAAAAGTTGGGCTAAACTTTCAATAGTATTTTAGACAGACCATGCCTTGTAGGATAGGTTGGGTTTTTTTAAAGCAACAGTTTAATAATGCAGAACAGGATTTATAATTATTTAATAGTGAACATGCATGCAGGGAATGCATAAAAAAAAAATTTTACACATTTTTAACATTTTGCATACTTTCTAGACTTGCCAAGAACAATTTTAGCCCCTAACATTAGAATGTAGACAAAAGTCAATGCACATTAGGATGTGGGCCACTACTAAGGGATTTTAATCTCTAGAAGTTCTACTAGCCCCACCTGGAACACTATAACATCATGGACAAAACTGATTCAATTTGAGGGTTTTGCAGGATAACTGCAATTTAGTGAGGCCTTACTGCTCAGAACAGCACAGGTTGTTTTCTTAATATAAGGAATATGAAAAGATATACTTATAACCATAGGAGAGCTCCAACTCAAGCAAACATGTATGGATGAATTGTGACTTATAGCTGAAGTACTAACTAAAATACTTCTGCTGTAGTATCATAAAAACCACATTATAATTAGCACTCTCCTGGTGCTCTCTAGCCTAAAGTTTACATACAGCTAAGATGTAATAGGTAAAAACAAGGAGTCCACAAGTCTAAAATTTTTTCCTCCAAGTCCTTTACCTTATCAAGCTACATCTCATCAATTCAAATATCAATGTCTCACTCATGTAAAACCCAAGTAATTTTATCCATGAAAACTATACATTTGGTAGCATCTACAGTATTAATTACAAGCATCTCTTAGTTTTTCAAGCTCTGTACTTTAACTGATGTGTTACATAGTGTTGCACAATACTAGTTAAGCTGCACATAATAGAAATGCTAAAACATTTTCTATCAACAAAAATTAAAATTCACATTTGAAAGTGTTATTAGATTAAAATTTTCAATCTGCTTAGCTGCAATTGGAAAAATGAGATTCACCTTTAACAATAACCTCTGTGGTCTCAGTCAACCACTAAGGGAATTGCTTTAAAACATTCAGATTGTGAGTACTTAAAAACTAAAATAATTTACCTGAAATTCTGGTACAGTAGACTTCACAACAGCTTTCCTCTTCTTCTTGATTGCTTTTTTAGATATGGATTTTTTTCCTTGTAAGATTAAAAGAGAAAAGCTTTATAATGCTGTTTCTTGCCCTTCATTAATAAAGCAATTACATACAGCCTTGAAAGTTACATTATAATTAATAGATGGCTGATAAGAAGTCACATAAGCATAATGAATCAGAAACAGACATAACCAAATCATACATTAAACTACAAGCATCTGCAAATAGCAGCCCCCTCTTTCCAAGAACAACCCCACTACAACCCCCCAAAATTAATACAATTATTGTAACAGTGCATTAATTTGTAGGAAAAAAAAAAATAATCATTCATGCTACTGTTCTGAGAGGAGCAAACTCCAGAACTTACTCCACAAATTTTGGAAATAATATAACTTACCTGTAAAATTTGTTCCCTGATACTTCTGCGAAGTAATCTACACACTAGGCTCTGGAACCTCTGTAGACTGTATTAAAATATATTCTCAAAGCAGAAGCAGTTTGCAGAAATCCCCACATGAATACACCAAAATTAGCATTTGAAAGCAGATTACAGTTTCATCTTTTATAGCAGTCTGGTTTCAACTATGGCAAAAAAAAAAAAAAAAACAAACCAAACATTTCTGAAGAAGGCAAATGCCTTCCCATAAAGCAATTCCCACCCAACTGAACTATGTAATAATATAGATGTTCAAACAAAAAAATCCACCACACTCCTTGAACCTAAGGTAATTGGTTTATTTCACAAAGTATCAGGGTTAATATATCACATATAACTTCTCAAAGTAGCTATGTCATACAGCTAGGAACAGGAGACTTCAGGAAAGTAGAATTTGACCTGTTTACAGAGCTGCTTGGAAGAAATCCATTGGACACAGTCCTGGAGAAAAGAGGGGTCCAGGAGAATTCACCAGTAAAGGCTAAGTCAAGGAAGACATTAAGTACCTCAGCCTTATTTGCATCTACTGTCACCAAATCACCTGGCCCATTCAGCAACAAGCCCACATTTTCCTTGTTCAACCTTTTGTTGTTAATGTAGCAGTAGAAGTTCTTCTTGTTGCCCTTGACTTCTCCTGCAAGCGTCACCTCCAGCTGAGTTTTGGCTTTCCTGAGAACATCCCTACATGCCTGGGCAGCGTTTCTAAATTCCTCCTTTGTAGCCTGTCCCTGCCCTCTTTCTGCATTGGAGCTCTACCATGAGTTCCCTGCTTAGCCAAACTGGTCTCCTGGTACATCTACTTGTCTTCCTGAGTATTGTGATAGACCATTTTTTTTCTTGGAGCATGCTGTCCTTAGAGACCGAGTATTGTGATGGACCATTTTTTTTCCTTGGAGCATGCTGTCCTTAGAGACCTGCCAGCTTTACTGAACTCCTTTGCCTTTCAGAGCTGCCTCCCATGGGATCCTACCTAGTAGTTCCCTGAATAAGCTGAAATCTGCTCTCCTGAAGGCCTGGGTCTGTACTGTGCTACTCTTTCCTCACTCCCTCAGGATCTTGAGCTCTACTGTTTCATAGTCACTACAGCCAAAGCTACCACTGATAACCACATTCCCCAACCAGTTCTTCCTTGTTAGTGAACAGCAGATCCAGCTGTGTGTTACCCCTGCTTTGTGCATCCAATGCCTGTATCAAGAAGTTAATCCCTGACACCCTCCAGAAATCTTCTTGACTGCTTGTATCCCTCTATATTGCCTTTCCAGCAGATGTCAGAGAGGTTAAAGCCCCCCCAAAAAACAGAATCTGTGATATAGAGAGTTCTTCCAGTTGCTTAAAGAGTGCTTTGTTCACTTCCTCACCCTAATCAGGTGATCTGTAGCAAACTCCCACCATTACATCATCCTTACTGCCCTCACCTCTGATCCTGAATCACAAGCTCTCAGTCAGGCTACAATCCAGCCCACAGAAGGGCTCCATATATCCAAACTGCTCCTTCATATAAAGGGCAAACCCCCCTCATCTTCCTTGCCTGTCTTCCCCCTTGTTTCCCAGGCTGCATACATTTGAATGCATACATTTGAGATCGGTGACCCCTTTAGCCTATTTTATCATTCCTGGTATCTCCCTTGTTTCCATCATCCTGCACCCTTTCCTTTTGGCCAGCACCCACCACTTCCTCACTTGACTGTGGGTTGTGTCATCTCCCTGTTCCATCATTCCTAATTTAAAGCTCTCCTCACCAGGGTTGGTCAGCCTGTTGGCAAAGATGCTCTTGCCCCACTGTCAGGTGGATCCCATCTCTCTCTAGTAGTCCTCAGAGTGATGATTGTAAAAGCTAAATCCTTGTTGACTACACCATCTGTGTGACCAGGTGTTGACCTGCAGGATCCATCTACTCCTCCCCAGGCCCTTCCCTTTCACCAGCAGGACCAAGGAGTGCTATAGCAATAGAATTGATAATCTCACTGTTAAAAAAAAAAAAAAAAAGTTAACCTCTTGCTCTCCACTAATTAAAAAATAATACTGTTTATATTTTCCAGGTTTTAAAGGTAATTTTTCTTTGACAGCTTTTCAGGAAAATTCCGTAAAAACATGCTTTAAGGCATTGCAGCTCTCAGGAACAGTGCACCTATGCCCAATTTCCAAACTGAGCAAGTAAATAATCTTTAACACAAAAATATTCAAATTCACTTACACTTAGGATATTTCAGGCTGGAAGGAGCCTCAGGAGGTCTCTCTCTCCACAATGATGTGGTAAGTTAATGATAAAACATTGTCCTCACCAAAATAAATTAATTTCTCAGACTGAAAAAAATATCCCAAAAGCCATGAGCTTGAAATATTTGAGGCCACTTTCTTAAATAGCTACAGCTATATAACAGCTATGGTTGTTAAACCCACCTCCTTAATGTACTACAGGCATCTTACCCATTCAGCAGTACCTACAACACTGAAAATAACATTCTGGAGGACCAAGAGCTATTTAGATTAAAATTAATAAATATTAACAAATTAATATTTATTTTTGTCTCAGTTTCCACTCTAGGACAACATTTCTAGTGATAAAGGTTAAACCTTTTTTTTCCAAATTAAAATCCAGATACAAACAATACCTGCTTAAAAAATACACACACGCTTGCTCTATTTCCACTGGCCAAGTACAATTTTCAAACCAACAATTTCACTGTATATAGAAAACTATTTTGTATTTAAATATACACACAACATAACTATATTAAAGGAATGCTATTTTGTTGCAAAGTGAAACATTCAAAAGCTAGAAAATGCCATTCTACATTACTCTTATGTAACCTGTGGTGTGTTAATGTTAGCTGGCTGCCAAGTGCCCACCAAGCTCCCCTCTCACTCCCCTTCTCAAAAGGGACGGAAGGAGAAAATAAAACAAAAAAAGGTCAGGGGTCGAGATAAAGACAGGGAGATCACTCACCAATTACCATCACAGGCAAAACAGACTCGGAGAAGATTAAATTAACTTATTGCCAATTAAAAATAGAGTAGGATGGTGAGAAACAAAGACAAAACTAACTTCTAGGAGGTTCCTGGAGCGTGTGGAAGATAAGATAACTTCCTGACACAGCTGGTAAGCGTGCCAACCAGTGGAGGTGCCCCGCTGGACCTGCTGTTTACAAACAGAGAAGGCCTGGTGGGTGATGTAGTGGTCGGAGGCTGCCGTGGGCTCAGCGACCATGAAATGATAGAGTTTTCAATTCTAGGAGAGGTAAGGAAGGGGGTCAGCAAGACCGCTACCCTGAGCTTTAGAAGGGCAGACTTTGGGCTGTTCGGGAGTCTGGTTAACAGAGTCCCTTGGGAGGCAGTCCTGAAGGGAAAAGGAGTCCAGGAAGGCTGGATGTTATTCAAGAAGGAAATCTCAAAGGCGCAGGAGCAGGCCGTCCCCATGTGCCGCAAGTCGAGCAGGCAGGGGAGAAGACCGGCCTGGCTGAACGGAGAGCTTTGGCTGGAACTCAGGAAAAAAAGAGAGCTTACCACCTTTGGAAGAAGGGGCAGGTGACTCAGGAAGACTACAAGGATGTTGTGAGGTTA